TAATAACAAGTTACAAACTTGTATTAAATCAATGAATATATCTACATTTTTTTCAATTTAAATTTAGAAATTGCCATTTCGTCACTAATTATGAATAAGAAAATGTTCAGAAAAGAAGAAAGAAATCCAAATCAACATTTATTAATCTGCTTTCTATGGATATTCGAAACACAAGTTTGTCTTCAAAAAATTGATAGCAAATTCTTTTTTTCCATAACTAGTCTGGAAGATATTCTCTTATAGTTAATTACATCTCTGTTTTCTCAACACAATTTAATTGAAAGGCTGGCAAAATATTTCGTTGTTTTATCGCGTACCGGTAAGGTTAATTCTTTTTTATATTTTATCGTATGCTTGTTTAGGCGGTGAGGGTGCGATTGTTCCTGTTTTTCAGTGGCGCCATCTATGGCCAGGAATTCGACTTCTGCCACGCCATTCTCACAGCCACAACCCGTTTATAGGGCGTGTCACATTCACCCACAAAGGACATAGAACACAGAGAGAAAGAAACATCCATGCCTTGCCCGGGATTCGACCCAGAACCTTTCTGATGCAAGGACAGTTCCCTGCCCCCTACACAGGCCAGTCGGCGGTAAGGTTAATAATTTAGATTATAGGCATAATTTTTACGAACACAAATTTGGGGAACTTTAACAATTTATGGATCAGTTGACAAATTTTTGATTACTCTCTACAAGGAAAGATATGATTGTAAGCATATTCAAATATAGATAAAGTGCGTATTACATCGGATACAAATATTAATTTTGTATTTCATATAACAAAAAAAAATTATTATTATATCTTTATTTTTTGTAATTATGTAACCACGAGTAGGTTTCCAAATAATGCAAGTAAATACAAAATGAATGAAAAGGAAATATGTCTGATAATTGTTAAGTTGAATAATATGTTGAATAATAAGGTAAGATGAGTAACAAATTTAAGGTAATAGTATTAGTTAACCGGAATTTGACTAACGGTGGTTCACACGACGCATTAATATTATTGTAATACGTATATTAGCAGTTACGCCGACCGGTCTGTGTAGGAGTTAGGGAACTGTCCTTGCACCAGAAAGGTTCTGGNATGTAGAGTGACGTGCACTCAATGATGAATTGACTTTATTTTATTTCAGAAGTTTTTACTCGGCCCACCAAACTTTTTTTTCTAGATTTTTGGCCCACGACCCAAAAAGTTTGCCCATCCCTGGTCTAAATTATCTAACAGCAAGTTACAAACTTGTATTAAATCAATGAATATATCTAAATTTTTTTCAATTTAAATTTAGAAATTGCCATTTCGTCACTAATTGTGAATAAGAAAGTGTTCAGAAAAGAAGAAAGAAATTCAAATAAACATTTATTAATCTGCTTCCTATAGATATTTGAAGCACAAGTTTGTCTTCAAAAAATTGATAACAAATTCTTTTTTTCCGTAGCTAGTCTGGAAGATATTCTCTCATAGTTAATTACATCCTTGTTTTCTAAACACAATTTACTCGAAAGACTGGCAAAATATTTGGTTGTTTTATCGCGTACCGGTAAGGTTAATAATTTAGATTATTGGCATAATTTTTACGTGCACAAATTTGGGGCACTTTAACAATTTATGGATCAGTTAACTAATTTTTGATTACTCTCTACAAGGAAAGATATCATGATTGCAAACATATTCAAATATAGATAAAGTGTGTATTATATCCGATACAAATATTAATTTTGCATTTCAGATAAAATTTTTTATTTATTTATTATTTCTTTATTTTTTGTAATTATGTAACCATGTGCAGGTTTCCAAATAATGCAAGTAAATACAAAATGAACAAAAAGGAAATGTGTCTGTTAATAGTTAAGTTGAATAATATGCTGAATAATAAGGTAAGATGAATAGCAAATTTTAGGTAATAGTATTAATGAACCGGTATTTGACAAACTGTGGTTCACACAACGCATTAATATTATTGTAATAAGTATATTAGCAGTTATTAGGTCCAGTTTTTTATTCTTAAACTTTAAATTTGTCTAAACCTTGACAGTTACGATTACTATATTTTAAGTTTTATACTTGTCTATTCCTATTTTTTTAATATGCATGTGTCTTTTTTTAAAAATTTTTGTTGTTGTTTCTAATGTCACTTGCGAATACAAGCAATCCTGCTTGGTGAAATCAAGCGAATTTAAGGCAGAAGGTGCGCCTCTTGTTTTTCAGTGGCGCCATTTGTGGCCAAGAATACGACTTCAGCCATATACACGTCACTGTCCATTTATGGGGTGGACCCATTCATAGATCCATTCATTCATCCACACATCATAATTTTGACCAGAATCACACAATCAATCTCCAATTTGGTACCCACAGAGATATAATTTGTTATGGGAATATAAAGAACTTCGCGACCAGACAGATTTAACGTTCATCATTTACTACATTTTCTACACGGAGAGCCTTTGGAGGAGTGGATTGAACTCACGATCCCTTATACATGGGCTCAACACCTTAATAACCAGGCTATTCCAGCCCCTATTATAATTATTCTATTATTATATTTTTTATAAATTTTTATTTAGAATTGTATTCATTGAAATGGACTTGGAGATCTAAATGTGTCTCATTTACTCTATTTTTACTGCAGATGAAACTATAGTATTTCGGATTACTTTTAAGTTTTCATTTTTTATGTGAAGAGTAATAATTCAGAAGAGGGTGGAAATTTTATGGTAAATATATTCTGTTGAGAGTACAAAATGGTATTGTAAGTCCAACATGTGTTGTACCCTGGATAACACTCATTTCGAGTTCTTTTTCCTTTTAAACTGTTATTTGGAAAATAATTCTATTTAAACTTCGAATTCAAGTAGCCTGCATTTGTTAAAATAAGTAAAATTTATTACAAATCCAATACTGTTTAGAGCTTTACAGGAATATTTTAAAACCCTAAATCTTTACTAAAAATTATCGAAATTTTAAAATGTTGTGTGAGGCATAGTTCATGGGGAGCTATGTTAGAACTAACTCGACTTGTCGCACTTACCTTGGATTGGTTCAAGTTACAATATAGAGAGTCAGGTCAAAAAAACAATAAGCGTAAATTTTTTTGATATTAATTGACCTGACGAAAACTATTTTCTTGAAAAATTGGTATTTTATTAAAAGAAATTGATATTTTAGTACTTATTTAACTTTGATTAGTTTTCAAATGTGTCATAGAGCCTTATTGAAAATAAAATTACATCAATTAAAAAAAAAGAAATTCTCTAGCATCACAAAACCAAAAAATGGTCAAAATTAAATGACGAGATTCAAATTTTGCAATAAATTTGTTTTAATACATTTAAAACTACTGTCAAAAGTATAAATAACTTAAAAATATTACTTTCTATTTAGAATAACAAGTAATTTAATTCCCAAGAGTTTCCATTTATTTTTCGATTTTTGAAATAATTAACTTTACAAAAAGCAAGCATTTTTATACCTCGCATTTTAATTAATCAATAAAATATTAATATAAGGAATCTTTTGGGTGGGTAATATCTGATTTAAAGTGAGAATAATAAATACTGTCATGGTTTTAATTTGTTATCTTAAATTGCGAAAAATATAATGGCTAAAACTATCAGAATATTCTAAAATTTACCATGTTTCTGGCTCTATGTGAACACTAATGAACAGTAATTTTTAATGAAGCGCTTTGGTAATGACCTTTGAAAAATTAACTGTAAAATATTGTTTTATTAGCATCTGTTTGGCAGTTTATTTGCTAATTTTATAATGATACCTTAGAGCAGTGTTTCTCAAAGTGTGGTACGTGTACCCCCAGGGGAACCGGAACAGCTTAGCGGGGGTACGCGCTCTTTTGCGAATCATCTTGCAACAAACGAAAATTTCAAAATTTTTTTATTTAAAAGCAAAGCTAGCCATGAAAATTTACGATTATGTATTTTTCTATTGGCTTGCAGAGTTAACAGTTAAATTAGTGGTGTCAACAGAAAGTTGTGATTTTTAATATTTATGCAATTTTTTAATAGTAAAATATACATTCATTTTTTTATTAGTGGTACACAGCGTTACGAAAAATTTAGAAAGGGTAAACAAAAGTCATAAGTTTGGGTAACGCTGCTTTTCCGTTTTCACAATGTATAAAATAATTAGCCTATTGCTCTTTATTTCAAAATAATTTTTCATTTTGTGACTGAAATTCCAAATGAAAGATGAGGCATGCAAAATGTAAATGCAGGACTTCTGTATCCGGTTTCAAATAGTTGTTTGCTAAATTAATTATGCAACTAATAGGAATATTTAAACTTTTTATTATTTCTGGAACAATTCAAATGTAATTGGTAAGTCAGCTTGTTTAGATAGTATAATGCATAATCGTTGCTATGACAGTTTTCATCTCGTGAATTAAAATAATCATTTGGTAAGCCAAAATAACATTTTGAGTTCTCTAGAAAGTTAGTGCCGATTTTCGATAAGTTGTGTGTGGACTCTTTTCAATATATTATAATGATAGAAAGCAAATTGTATGTGTATGTGACTGAAACTCAGAAATCGAAAAATATATCTCTTCATTAGACTAACTAAAGACAACATTCCAAATGAATCAAAAAGAGCCATATTTAAATAGACGAATTTGAGGCATTTGGTAAGTCTGTAAAAATCGTTAAAACTTGGTTAGGATGTTGTACCCCATCACTTGACCTTTTGATCTCAGATATTTAGTTATTTCTGCCACTGTAAAGCTACTCAATGGAAAAACCATTAACTCAGTGGACGAGATCAAAACACACGTGACAAATGTTTTCGTTAAAAAGAAAACTGAGCGGTATTTTTTAAATTGCCTGTTAGATGAAGAAAGATTATAGAACAGAATTACTCTCACATAGTTTAATAAAAGCATTTCAAAATTTAAATGTCCTTTTTTTTTCATTTTTCATTTAGTATCGGCTACGACTTTTCGGACAGTTCCGCGTGTAATAGTAAAAGCAAAATGAGCTCAGTCAAAAATAAATGTAAAATTTATTTCTTAACATGAATATTGAACATTGCATAATTCACACTGAGCAGTAATTGTACTTCCTTCTCCTCCCATTCTACAACAATGTGTGTAGCTGCCACTTATGATTCTTAGTGTTCTCATCCTGAAATTGGCTTGCACAGATTTCCATGGCATTATGACATCTAGAATAAATAAGTGAGTTTTTACGCTTGCTAAATTGTAAATAAAAATAACTTATTAACAGTTACAAAAACACATTAATTATAACTTAAATGGACTTTCTTGATTACCATTTTAAAATTGAAGTGATGGCTATAATGAAAAAAAAAACTTGTTCGTGGCAGCGAACGCATTAGTCATTTTTGTGGTTTATCACGGTATTACAATAATACTTTAAATTCGAAATTACTTAAATTCAATATACTCACCGAAGTAATAACTTGAGATTTTTGAGAAAAATACACTTCTTTTTTTAAAAAAAAAATTATAAATTATACAAAATTAAACGGGGATATTATCACTTATTGATTCAAAATAAAATTTGAATTGCAGTTTTTGAAATTGCTGATCATAAATTAAGTAAGAATATTCACAAAAAAGACAAAATTTAATGGTAAAAATAATCAGACACACATTAAACCTTAAAGCAAAATTTCAGTTAAAAAACTATAAAGTATACCATTATACTGTATATTTTTTCATCAAATACTTAAACGAACAAATTACCATGTAAATAAAAAACAGGAAAGGTCTCTTAGTCACACTCACTGAACATGAGACGTTTGAAACCTGCTACTCATAACAAAGGATTTCCTTAAAATTTAAAATTATGAGACCAAACGCTTTTTTTCGACAGAAATTTTTTTAATTTTTTTTAATGACTTTTAGAGCTTAATAAAACGGCACATTTAAAAATATTATTTATTTTATTGAAATATTATTTATTTTATTGCATTTGTAAATTATTGTGTGAAAATTTATTTGTTTAATAATTACTCATCATAATTTTTAATAGTTAATTAAACTTTTAGCCATACGTAGTTTTTATAAAAATATCAGATGTTCAATGACTTGAATTGTACTTTCAAATTTAATACTTTTTGACTGAATTTTTTTAGACTATTTCAGAATTATAGTTTGATTGCTCACTTGTAAGATGTCCTTCTCTTTTAAAAAAGAGTACTCAAACTTGAATATGAGGAAATCAAACTTTTCATTTTTTTAATTACTTTTTCAACATGCAAATTTTAATTTCTTCAAAAAAAAATTAAAGCTGATGTATACTTTACCTCATAGTTAATTGAATATTAAAGTTTATATATATATATTAATGTATTATAATATAATGTAATAGTCTGAAAGAAAAGTCTAATAAAATATCTATTAAAATAAGTGTTTACTTTTATTTGGCTTTAATTGTTCATTATTTAATAATGATATCCATATCCTGGTCCCTTGAAGTAAACCTTTGAGTAACCATGACTACTTCCATACTTGGTTGCATAGCCATGCCCATAAGCTGGAGCATGGTGTACAGCTGGGGAATGATGAACAACGGGGGCATGGTGAACAACAGGGGCATGATGAACAGCGGGGGCATGATGAACAACAGGAGCATGTACGACTGGGTGTGCCACTACTTTGTGTACGACAGGGTGGCCATGCGCTACGTGACTGTTGTGACCATGAGAATCGTGTCCATGACCTGATTTGGCATAACCATGAGATCCATAGCCATGTCCTGCATGTTTGCTGTGAGCTCCATGGCTGTTATGACCGCTGTGTCCATGAGCACCAGTGTCATGGTAAGATTTTACAGCGTGATCTCCATAAGTTTTGTGGTCAGATCCATGATCAGCAGTAATGTCATGGTGTCCACTAACCTATAATGGGAATAATGCATATGAGAAACATAATAAATATCTAAGTTAACTCAGTAACGGTTTCAGCATACATTACGTTTGGTTTAATATAAACCTATACAGTGCCTGCCGCGCTTTGAGATAACAGGTACAAGGTCGACACTACTAGCTAAACTGATTACAAGATTTGCATTTTGTTATCTTAAATCTACGTTTAATATTTTAATTAAACGTGAGTTACTTTTTTTAACCAACTGCCGAATCTGTAAGTAAGAAGTCAAAATTTAACCTGCAGTCTTCTCCACAAAACAAAATGTCAAAACTTTGCCCGTTTGCTGAAATATCAGTGATTTAATTTACGGAAAAGTTTTAAAATTTTATTATGTTTGTTCGAAAGAAGATCAAATTAGATAAAAGTTTACTGCATCTACCTTCAATCTAAATATATTTCACGAATAAAAATTGTATACAGATCGGTAATCAACACAGTTCTGTCTTGGTGCCATGTTTACTGCTCAGTTCTGTTTTAATTTTGAGCAAGTCACTATGCTCAAAAATGAGTACATGGGATCTCCAAATTCGACTTTTTTTGTTTTGGAGATGCTTCGACAATTTTTTTAATTTTGAGAAACACTTATTTCAACATCAGCTATTAACGACAAATTAAGTAATATTTTCGTTACGTTACTTATTATGAGAACGTCAATCATGCAATTACGTTAATATATATACTATTAACTGTACGAAATCATGATTTTTTCAAACACAGAAAAGGCTATTACTATATTAATGATTACACACCTTATCATAATGGTATGCCTTTACGTATCCCTCTCCCTTATCATGGCTGTAAGCACCATGGTCTTTGTATTTTCCATAGTGTGATCCATGGTCTCCGTGAGCGGAATGTGATCCATGAGATCCAATGGCGTGATTTCCATGAGCAGAGTATCCATGATCTCCATGATGACCATGACTACTCAAAGCATTATGACCATGAGATCCATAATCTGAGAGATGATGTCCATGAGAACCATGTCCATGAGCTGAAGCAGCACTGATGTGATCATACAGAGGATATGGGTAAGCGTTAGCTACAACAACTGAGAGCGCCAATGAAAGAAGAGTGAGCTGAAAAAGAAACAATTGAAAATATAAGAATGAAATTAATAAAATGCTTACTTATTACTTTCACAGAGAAATTAACAATGATTTGAGTAAATATATATATTTTTGTGATAGATCTTTTGCACAAAACTAACACAGAGACTAAATTACATGGAGTTAATGTAGTAGAAAAATACCTCTTACAGTTACTCCGATGACAATTGCACTCTGAAACATTTGTTTACCACTATTCATGACTGAATTTATTAACTAGTTGTTATTTTCTTAGGTCTTTTAAGACACCATTAAATATTATAATTACAATATTATATAGGTATTATACTGGAGCTAACGTTTGAAATTATTCTTTAGATATTTCGTTTGTTAAGTTTGTGTGCAAATGGAATAGATTTTCTTCGCCAAACTCAAATTTTATTTTTGTTTTATTAGAACGGTGTATATTAAATATTTTTCTCGGTCAATTAAATAAAAAAATAGCTGCCTTAATACATGACTTAAATATTTCTAACATTTTAAAATAATTTTAACAATTAGCAAAAAATTCACAAATATTTCATAATAATATTCGTAAAAAGTTAATATCATGAAGACCGTTTTAACATTTCTAATCTCTACATTGATGGGAGTTATTGTCTAATTATTATACATTTTCAATATTTTAATAATAAAAATTCTATAAATTAAATAATATCTGCATATATATTTCTCTTACACGGAGACAAAGAAAGTTCTCATTTTCTTTTCGCGTCGGCAACAAAGTGTTGAAATATCGAGCATGTGAGCTGCCATAAGCATGAAAAAGAAAATTTACATGTTTACAAATTCCTAGTTGAAAATTCTTTTCTCGCGATTAAAACAAAAAACTGAAACAAACTGAGTTATAAGTTGGGAACATTGAAAGGTTAAAAAGGAATAATTCATGTCAGCAAAGTTTACTATATTATGTTTTAATTTTACTTATGCAGGCTCAACAATAAGAAAAGGCGTGCTCGAAGAGCAGAAGAAAGCGTTAATGACAATTACGAAAGACGTGACATTAAGAGAATACGTTTTTTTTTAAGAGACTTGCCGTTTTACGCACTGTTTTTTAAAAGTATAATTAATGTTTTGTTTCTGAAAGTTTTTTTTCATTGCAAGTCATTTATTTCAATTCAAAAATTTTTAATTTCACAACTTATAAGTGACTAAAAATTTTTATATCTGAAAGAGACAACAGCGGCCTTGAAATTTTTACTGATGGATCAAGGATGGAGGTTGCCGACTCCGCTACTGATACCACAGAATATAGAACTGGCTTCAGCATTGTTACTAAAATGCACGGTACTTTAATCGAGGCAACCTCCACCAGGATCTCAAACAATAGTAGTGTTTACATGGCAGAATTGGTGGCAATCAATAATGCTTTTCTCTGGCTTTCTAAAAAAGAATATCCAGATGCCACTATCTATACTGATTCGCTTTCCTCGTTGCAAGCCTTACAAAACCCAGTATCAAGCTCAAAATACAACGCTGATAAACATTTCGTAAAGTTTTAATATAATTTAAAATGATTAAGCACTCATAAAAAGGGCTTGAAACTAAATATTATTCACGATAAATTAACAGTAAAAATTTCATCAAATTTACTTTGCAAACTAAAATACGAAGCTCATAAAAACTTTGTATCATCTAAAGTAATGATTTATCCTGAAAAATGATATGAAACTAAATGATGATCATGATAAATTACTCACAAATACTTATATACAAATCAAGAAAAAATATTCATTAAGATATTTTAATGAATATCATCTGAAATAATCATTAGCCTATACAAAATACTTAAAATTAAAACATTCATCATGATAAATTAAGCACAAAAATTTCCATAAATATTAATCATGGTAAGTCACCCACAGAAGTTTCTTAAAAGTAAATATTAATTATGCTATATATCCATAAAAATTCCTTCATATTAAATATTAATCATGATAAATGAATTAGCCCTAAATATGATCAGAATGCTGTTTCCTTCGAAACTAAATGTATTAAAATGTATAAAACTGTAATAAGCGAGACAAAGGTTTGAAATAATGCTTTTTGACGAGACCTGTTTTCATAAGTAAGGAATCTGCAATTTGAAAGTCAACAATTCATGCGATCAGTCAAATCAAGGTCATTATCGATCATTATTGTTTTATTGTTGAGTGAAGGAACTATTATCTGAAAATTTAAACACGTTGCATTGTTAGTTATTGTTGCAGTGAAAGTTTTATTATCTTGTCAAATGTGCTAAGGAAAGGAATATCATCCCATAAAAGATACAAATTAAGTTATATACATATTTTAAAAATGTTACGTGTAATATTAAATCAATAAAAATAATAGTATTTTTGCAGATTTATGAAGATTATGAGATGAATATTTTATGATATTGTTTGAAAAATTTACTTATTCTTATTATAAGCTTATATTACAATAATTGCTTGTCCCTAAAAAGATATTAATAATAATTATTTTATTAATCCATCATTTTATAAATATATTTATCTTTAAAGTCAAAGTTTTATAAAGACTTTTTTTGACGTTTACTATAATCTGATATTTATTATATTCACAGATTAGAATGAAATTGATAGAAAAATTTATTTAAATAAATAATAGCGAAGACTAGAGTAAAATAGAGACAATGATAAGGTTAAGTTATAAGCAATAACAACGAATAATTACGTAATGAAAAAAACTAAACATGCTTTATATGACTTAATATTTTATTAAATGTTTTTCCAACTTTAAATTATAGATTAGCCTATTATTAAAGAAAGCATCAAATTTCATGCTATTATAAAGTAAGGCTTATTAAACTGTACATATAAATAAAAATTTTGTTGTTATTGTCATGTTATTATTACAAATTATATTATTATTATTAGAAACTATGCTATTACTATAAATTATATTATTAAAAGAAATTATGCTATTATTAATATAAATTATATTATTAATATAAATTATATTATTAATATAAATTATACTATGCATATGAATTTCATAAACTATAAAACTTCTCATTTTATTATATAAGAGCCATGAAATGAAGCAAAATTTTTTTCGGAAACAGAAAAATACTCTCATATGTATTTTGAAAATAAAAATTAAGAATAATAATAATATATTCTAACCTTTCTTTGAGTAAAGTATTTACAAATAAATATTTTGCCTACATTTCAGTTTTAAGAAAAAATTAGATGCATTATTTTATATTTAAATTTTGTTTATTATTTTAAATTATAAATATGTATGTTTCAAAATAATTAATTTTTTTTAAAAGGATTTTGATTTAGAAATTTTAAATTTTATTTATGTTAAGCAATAAATTATTGAGATTTATAAACCAGTCGTTTGATTCTGACAAATGATTTTTTTAAACATTTTGTTGTCCGAATGTTTCAAATTTCGTTCTTAATTATTTTTGCCAAAAGTAATGCTTTAAGATAAATTTATATAGATAACCGTTTGAAGTTTTCTTACCGAAAATTTCTTTTGTAAATCATTTAAAACAATAAGGCAATAAGAAAGCAATTAAATGTTGCATTTTTGGAATCAGTTAAACGATAAATTTATTTAAATTTATTTCAAACAATTTTGATCTGGAGTTTTATTTTTAATTGCACAAATTTTATTTATTTCAATTTAAAATAAGCGTTTTAATAATAACGTCATCTGAATTTATTGAACATAATCTTTGTAGAATGTAAATTTTAATTGCAGAAATGTAAATTTCTATGGATATTGAAAATTCCTAATTCCCAATGAAGCAAACTTTTGGAAGGAGATTAAAATTTTTAAATTATCTTAATTTAATTATCTTTATTAATTAGCTCTATTTAAGTATCTTTAATTTTTTAATTATCTCTTAACAAATATTAAAATAAGGGATCGTAAGTTAGAAAACGTAATAAGATAATTATATTTAATATTTTTATTTTATAGTACGTTTAATATTTTTACATCATTTAATAGTTTTACTTTTAGGTTTCATTAGATAATAAAACCGTTATAAGCAGAAAAAGAGAACATTTTGAGAATTCCTCCAAATGAAACTGAACAGTCAATTTTTGACATCAAAAATTTCCAATAACCTTTTCTACCTGTATCAATACATAAACAGGCTAAAAGGGATTATAGTTCAATAATTCAAATCGTAACAGATAAATGCGTTTTTAGATTTACAGTCCATTAATTTTGATTTATTATAAACTAAAACCTAGTTTTAAATTACATAAAATTAATTTTTGCTTTAATTAAACAAAAATTTATTAAAATCATCTGTAATTATTGAAAAAAAACCCGCTGAAATGTAATTATTATCGAAATTGTGTAATAAATTTAGTTTTGAATTTATGAAGTCATGAAGTGTTGTTAAAGAAAACTCAAAATCCGCTGAAAGTAAATGTAATAGAAAATATAATTGACTCTGAAAAAATAATAATTAGACACTCTGAGAAAATTTTAATTATATTTTTCTGATTATTTCTAATTTTTCACAAGTATCAATATTAGGATTATAAAAAAATAGAAAATTCTTTAAATATTTGTAACTACTATATGGTTAGTTGAGTAGGATTGAACATCTAAAATAAGGAGAAAAAAATTGAATATTGCTTAGCTTTTTCCTACTTAAACGGATAATTTGATTTTATCATGAAATAATTCCAACTTCGAAAAGCTCTAATCCCCAGTTATAACTATAGAGTCCAATAGCCTTCTTAAGATTCAGTGACAAAAATATTGTAAAACATTTGGTACATTTTATCACTTAATATTATTTTAAGATCATTTTTCCTTTTTGCATGTCTCTGCAAAGCGATTATCGATGCAATAATATAACAAAATTTGATTCGCTGGTCGGAGTTTGATTTAATTGCAAAGAAAAAGAATAAGAAAGGAAAGAAGTTAGATTAACAAAATTTTATGGGATATATCTAGTTTAATATTCAAGTTTATTGGATATCGTTTCAAGATCAAAATGTAAAGACATGTCACACATCAAAATGTAGAGACACACAGTAAAAATGTCTCACAATATGTTAAAATTAAAACTTATTATTTTTTATTGTAAAAATTAAAATTATCCAAAAAGGTTAATTAAGTTTGATTAATTGGATTATTAAAAAAAAATACTTTATTGGCATTATGAGTTAACTTTCCTCTAAGCAGCATATTTCTAGGCAAATATCGTATTTTCTACCATAAAACTCAGGCCCCAGGAGGGTAAAAAAGAGGTGAGATGTCCCGCTTTGGAATATACCAAAGATTTGGTTCGTAATATACCAAACCTTAACCAAAACCATTATCCTTTCACAGCAAGTAAATGAAACTTAAAAATCCTAACTAACTCACCATTTTGGCAATTTGAGCGACTATATCCAAAAGACGTAGAATTATCTTTGGCAAAGCTAGAGAATGATTCCTTAGCACCCGATGCTATGCAAGTGGTTACGCTTCGGGCGCTACCCAGCTTTTATAGTTATGTAAGATTGCAGAGATTCGGGGGACCGAGTTTTCAAGAAAAGAATGGCCGTTGAATCTATGTGGACAAGAAATAAAACAAATTAAAAAAAAAATAAGTATGAAAGAAAGCGCCGTTGTGTTAACAATGGATTGGCGTGGCTATGGTGAAAGTGAATACTTTTAGTTTACAAATTGTCTTTCCAATCTGATCTGCAAAGGAGGTCAGTATCCGGATGCAATGAAGGGGGGTTGGGATCCATTATGTTCCGCTGTTTAGATTTACGGAGCTGTTAATGCGGAGTCATACAATGGAAAAATGGACTGTTAAGATTACGATGGAGAGGTCAAGGAGGAAAAAATGTATTTCGTTCTTTAGATGTTTTGTTAATTTTTTGTTTTGTTGGGGGGAGTGTTACAAATTGTTTTGGGTGAAAACGTTTCAGGTGTTTGGGTATGAAGATCGTAAGTCGAGATCGAATTAATTTCTGCTACGCAGGAGATAAGGCTTAAATGATGATGTTTAAGGAATCTCATAGTTTTTAAGCACATGCCTGTGGTAGGTAGTATTGTGATGGTTTAAGTGTAATTCGATTGAATTCAATCCTTTTCATGGTACTGTCGCATTTAAATGTAAACAAACATATGTAATAAAAAATGAGCTACTTTATATTTTTTGATTCTATTATATCTGCTGCCATACAATAGCAAAAAAGAAAGAAAAACATAAACATCTTAAAAATCTTCTGGAAATTAAAGAAGACAGCATAGCATTTGAAAAATTTTCATGTTGAGAAAAGTATGGCTTAGTGTATTAAAAGACTATTCTAAACTATTTATTTATTTTTACTTATTTCACCTTCATATTTTTGTTTTATAGCAACAGATATTGGTAGTATAAAAGTAATGATTTAAAATAGCCTAAAAGTAATGATTTCTGGCCTAAAAGTAATGAGTTGGCATGATTTAAATCATGTCAACTCTTTTTCTGACATCTTTATATTTTCCTTTTACATTTATAAATTTTTCTTTTGATTAAACATTTTGCAAATCCTACAAATTTGAAATTTTCATCTTAGTTTGAGAAATAATTTAGAAATTTCTGCTGCTTTTTTTTACATCTTTGTGGCTCTTTTTCGATACTGAGAATATAGTATCTGTAAAAAGTATCCATTATTCTAAAAGTTATTTCGTTAACATTATATAAGCAATTATAGCAAACGCAAATTAGATACTGCTTACGAATCTAAACTTTGTATTTATAGTTTAATTATCCTTTGAGGCGCAAAAACATGATTTTGGCCAAAATTTTCGAAATTGAATCTATGATATTTTCAGAATTCCTGTAATCTTAGTTTTCTAAAAATACTTTACTTTTGCTTGTATTCTAATTATTTACTGAGTTTTAGCAGTTTTTGTGTAAGGTGGTAACAGTGGATAGACTGAGAGATTTAAATCATTGAATGCGTTTATCTCAAAATCAGATTTTTACACATTTCACACCACCTTAAACACTATATCTCATGTTGTTTTTGAAATAACTGTCAAGACTTCTCCATGAGTGTTTATGATTATAGCACACATGTTTTGAAATGCAGGCTAAGAGAAAATGAAGAATTTCGTATTTTATGCATGTTTTTTAACAAAGAGAAGTGCGGAAAATTTTTAAAAACGTGCCTTTTTAACTAAATTTATCCCTAACTCAGTAGTATATGTAACTGCTGTTTAAAATAATAGTTCAATACATACCTCTGATAGTCTTTTAAATAAAATTCTAAAAGGATTTTTCTGTTTTAGACGACATAATTTTTTTTACAGTGCTTAGCGTATTTACAAAAAAATTTCTTATTTTTATGTAAAAATGACCATTTATGAAATAATTGATAATAATAATATATTTTTTTGCAAGTTTTATAAGTTTTTACGCATAATAAAATAAAGAAACTATAAATAAAAATTTTATATTAATATTTAAGCAAAACGTTGTTGAAATTAGTCGGATACTTTATAATAGTGTTCGGTATGTGAGTGATTCAAATGCGCTATTTCGTGTTGAATTCGAAAGAACTAAAACAATTGTGAGCAATGAAAATATACAAACAGACCATTTTTTTAAAAAAAATATAGCATTTAATGTAATTTACATCGGAATTTTTTTATAACGTTACGTTTTACCGAATAACTTTGGTTAAGATTTTGGTTAAATTAACTACAAAATGTAGTGTTAAAATATGTGATAAAAGTTTGTAAATGGGGCAAAATGTGGTAATTTTATCAGGATTTCTTAAAGTATGGCATAAAAATCCAGGTAAATTTAATTCGCAGTTTTGTATTTTTTACTAAATGTTTGAGAGCTATAATTTTGAATAACCAGAGTTTCGGTTGAACTGTAAAATATTAAAGGAAAAATTACCAAATAAATGGTTTATAAATACCATACAGTTTGGTTTTATCAACAAAATCAATGCTTTGATGTAAAGTGTTTTTTTTATTGGAAATGTCATTACTGTACAGTACTGTAATTTTACCAGATTTTTTTTTACCGTGTGTAAAAAATTCTTAATATCAAAGTTCAAACAAATGATTTTTATTAAATTGAACGTAACAAAATAATAAAGTGAATTTATAAAGAAGCAGTGGATAAACGAGTTATTTGGTTTGCCAAAACTTTTCACTTTTTCGCTTTTGCTTTAATATGGACAGCAGTTTCTGTATTTTTAGAGAATTTTATTTATTTATTTAGTTATTTATTTATTTTGTGCGTCACTCTTGAACTGGTCAACACATACTTCTTGGCTGTTTCACAACTTTCACACATAGTAGGAAATTATTTTCTTTTGCAGAACACTTTCACTCCAAAAACCAATTCGAATTTCCATTCCCCGATTTCTCAATTAAAAAATCTAATAAATAAATAAGTTAGTAATTGAATAAGTGAACTGTTTCTTGAATTAATGGATAAGCATTGAAGCACTACATCATAAAATTAATTACTACTTTTTCAACAACTTAAAGGGATTTTGAGTTGCCTTTTTAAAAAAACAAGCTCTCTTTAGCTCTATCCATTACAGTTTAACGACATTTTTTTCTTAAAGATAAGTATGTCATGAAAAAAATAAATTTAATTTAAATTTATATTTACAAAATACGTGGAACATAAATTGTAGGTAAAAAGTCATAGAACGTGTAATTATTCACATACTTTTTCATTAATATTAAAAAAATTTTAATTTCAAGAAGGTTTTTACTTTATGTAGTATGTTTGGTTGGAGGAATGAGTGATTTTAAGAGTAAAAACATCTGTAGCCGATTTAAAACTCAAACACATTAGATATCATGTATTTCAACTATTGTGTTGCTATATTTATATACCCTTTAATCAATGTGATACAGTTTTCATTCATGTTTAATTAATTTTAATCGAAACATTATATTGAAGAGTAATCTAAAGGCTTATTTTGTAAGAAGCAATGAATAATCTCCGTTTTTCAGTTTTATATTTAACACTAAACTGGAGCACTAATCCAACAATGCCACTGCAATAAGCTTCATTTAATGAATTCTAATTTGTGAAAGAACAAAATTTGATTCGCAATATTTAGCATAGTTTTCATGTTCTTTTTCCCGAATTACCGTTGAAACAGCTATTCTCATTAAAAAAGACTATTCACGGCTGACCCCGTGCAATGCAATTCAGTTACTCACGCTAGTCGTTCAAATAATTTATATAAATGATACTATACTTCTAGCATTGATTACATTTCCCGCTATGCACATTTTTGACTGTTTTCTTCTTTTTATTTTACACATAAATTGTTTACAAAGTTTGTTATACTATTTTGTATGTTACATATGATCTATAATAATTCTTTTGAAGCAGTGGTTCGTTCTTTTGTCTGTTTTTCTAATGCTGTTTAAAAAGGTTCTATACTTTTAAAATAATAATAATAATAACGCACTTTGAAATCGATTAAAATCAAGGAAATGTTCTCCTTCAGTAATATAAAAATTCTAATAATTTTTTATGCGTGTTTGATTTATTACATAAATTTCTGAAAGAAAACTTTCTTCAAATATTAGATTTTCACGTTTCATTGTTTACTTATCATATCAACAAGCATGTTGAATAAATTGACTTCCCGCCGGAACTACGATCTGTTTATCATGATCTTAATTTTTATATTTTCTATCTATTATTTTGATCTCAATGACCCAGTGGTTGGGTAGCATTACTTTCGCTTGTTACACCTGTTCCTCTGATGTAATCAGTTAACAACATCTCTTTATACTTGAATGCATCTTTCTGGAGGCTGAGGCTAAAGCGTCGATATATTTCTTCCGCTATGTCCACTGAGTACAAAAACAACGATTCAAAATGATCGTGACGGTTCTTTGAGCTATCTTAAAGAACTTGGCACACTTTGTAGTACAAAGACTCTCATATAACTAATGATAATTCTAGGTTCTTCCTTTTGACTTAGGTTATTCTAAAGAGCTGGTAGTGCGGTGAACATTATGGTAATTAGAGCAAACGGGGAAAGTGTTAGGTGCATTGTTTTCTGTGCACGTGCGGATTGTAATGAAATTGATCAATGATGAGGAAATGTTAAGGCGTCTTAAATTTAAGTCACCATTTTTTTGTTGGTAAAGTAAGTTAGTGTAAATAAACTAGGTAGAGCGATAACACGTTCAATCTCTACTATACAAGTCTTATTTGCTGTTAAAACATGGTAACGAAGGGAATGATGATGTTTTTTACAATCTCAATATTTCGAATCTTATAACTTGAACGATCAAATCGATTGAAATTACATTACTTCCATTTTTTTGTAAAATACTAGGTTTGAAGAAAATTTGAACTCGTATTTCTAACGGAGTGGTAGAACAAACAATTTAAAAATTGTTTGAAAGAGAAAGATATCGAATCGGTTAAACACACTTTGCAAACTTTCAATCAAACTTCCATTACTTATTTCGCATTAAAATTATGATAATTTTTTCAAGCTATCATGATAATTATGTTAATGTCA